TATGACAAAGATAAACTATAGCTGTCATCCTGTACGTCCTGTAACATGCCCTTTTCGGTCACACGTCCCTGCATGGAGGCAAACGTCCTGAATTCCTGAGTTCCGCACAAGTGGAGGTTCTGCACAAGGTGCAGACCACAGCACAGGTTATGACTGACAACTTCTAGAGTTCCTTGGGCACGTGAGAAAAAAAGTTCTTTGTTTCTTCTTGTGTTTTTTTTTAACATAGGCCAACGAATCTCAGCATTCTGAGTACACGTAAATATCGAGGAAGATTTTGGTTTTTTCTTTTTTTTTTTTTTATTCAAAGAATTTTCTACTTCACAACATCCACTGCATTAGGACAGCAGCTAGTAATTTTGAATGCTTCATGTCGTTCACTTTTTCCCCCTTTGTTAAGACATCTAAGAATAAGGAATGAAGGACATTTCTACAGAATGGGAAATGGCAGTCTGGTAAACAGTGACTAGGAAAGGATCTAGGAAAACCACTGGAAAAACAACTCACCCTGAAAGCCCAGATTGCTCTGGCGCAACTGTAGCTTTAGAAGGTATAAGCATGGCAACTGCAAAGAGGTTTTTTTCCTACCATATACAGCATTAGTGAAGCTGATACAGGTCCAGAGTACAGTTTTGATGCTTACACTTAGTAAAGACTATGGAACTAGTGGAGAAATTTCTGAGAAGAGTCACAGACTTATTAAATGGATGAGGAAAACACCCGCTGGCAAGAGGTTTGAGAGTACCTGTGATCAAAAGGAAGAGCGAAAGGTGTTTGGAGACGGCAGCGGCAGATAGATGCACGGGGAGATACACCAGGGAACAAAAAAAAAAAAAAAAAAAAAAAAGCACTTCAGTCAATAAGGAGCAAAAGCCAGAGAAATTCACATTAGAAATTAGCCACAATAATTTGACAGTAAAGCTGACAGACAACTGGAACCAAGTGCCCAAGGAAGTGGCAGAGGCGGCGTAACTTGATGCCTTCAAATGCAGCCCAGATGCTTTCATGGAAGACTTCTGAGAAATACAGTCTTTCTCCAATCAAGACCAAGAAAATCCCATGCTGGGCTAGCCCCACTAGCAACAGCCAGTATGAAACCAAAAAGCACCTAAATGTTTACCTCTGCGTATAAGAACGTTTCCAAGTAGGGTTATTAGAAGCAAGCCAGGCATGGAAAGGTCAGTTGAGCATTTAGGATGAAACGAGAAGGACGATGACCACAGAGCCATAAGGAAAAGCCTCACCCAGGAATCACAAGTAAAGGAGAATTCAATAAACAGCACCACCTTCCCCAAAAGAAATGGTCCCAAAATAGACTGGATGGAGTAGCCACCCTCCCAAGGCACTGGGTCATCTCCTAAAGCTAGCCCTAGCTGCATGGGAGAGACTGGGAACAGAAGCTGCAAACCACTGGGAATAAAAGCTTTTCCTGCGATAAGCGCTACGTAGAAATTCACCCACATCAAAGAGGAGCAAGAAACTTAGTTGTTTATCTTCCATTTGAAGCTGCAATTAATTAGATTTATGTCTGTAAAAATTCACATAAGATTTGCTTTAATGCATCCTTTTAAGATTTGCCTTTTTGTCTGCCTCCTTGCACTACTTTGGATTGAGAAAAGATAATACTGAACTAAAAGATGAAGACATAGGAGAGTAAATGAGGATTCATTTACTCAACTGAACCAGCAGGCACTCTTAAAACACTGTTCAAAAACACGGGGAAAACGTCCCTGGCAAGCATTCAGGTCAGGATGAGATTTTCAAGTTTTTAGAACTTTGTTCAGCAAAACTAATGGTGCCTCAGAAACATGCGTGTGCTCAAATTCACTGCTGAGGGCTTAGCTCACTTCCACTGAAGATTTTTTCTGGAAAGAAGATACAGTCCCTTTTTCTTCAGTTGGAAACAATCATAAGTAAATGCCGTGATGCTTTGCTGAATAATCAGAGAGCTTTAAGTGCTGACAGGTTTATAAGCAGGTGCAGGGTGCAAAGGGGGGAAGTCCAAGTGATTTGTCATTGCTGCTATTCACATCAGTGATGTTAAACAAAAATCCAAGTTTATTTTTCTTACTACTGTTTGGGAAGCTGAGAAGCACCAATAAGCGAAAGCAAAGCAGACTCCCGTTTTGCATGACTCTGCTTACATTTTCTCTGCTTCTCTAATACCTTGGTCATATGCTCTAAATGGCTTAACGCAATCCCTACAGATCTTGAAAGCACTCAACCAGAGAAGTGCAAGGCAAGTGGAAGAGACTCCTTTTGCCCCAACAGTGACTTTCGAGCTTACCAAAAGACTAGCAAAGATAACATGCTTTCTATCTCCTCTGTGTCTGCCAGCTCGATACATGCAGGAGGGAGGAGCATAAAGTGTTCTTTATCCCTTCCTGCAAACAAAAGCTTGGTTTCAAAGGTATAAAATGCCAAACGAGAAGCGAGTTTGGTCACTGGACTAATGCCCAGAATGGCTGCCCCTGCAAAAATTCATGATTTCCAGTAACGGCTCTGCTACAATGGCATGTAGAAAGCCTCATCCCTTTCCTTGGGAAAGAGCAAGGGGTTTCACCAAAGTAGGGTTCTTCAATCTTCAAGCTGATCTTTGAGCCTTTCACAGATCTGAAGCTGCCCTAAGCCTGCAGTCAGGAGTCGGTTATCTCCTACCCGTCCCTGCACATCCGTCCCACTCCCCACTGCACTGGCTGCTCACGGCGAGCGGCTCTCTAAGGTCTTCAGCTGTCAGCCAGAAAACACCACATTGATACTTTGACCCTCATTCTTTTAGTTTCTGGGGTATTGCACGGCTTTTATGTTGAGCTGGCAGAAAAGCTGGGGCAAATGGGAAGAACCACAGTCCACAGACAATTTGAGTTCAGCTATCCACTGGAGATGGTCTATAAAGGAGTAGTTTCAAAAAAATCAAGCAAAACTAAAACACTTTCACAATACTGTAATATTTAGAATGTGTATTTAAATCACATTCTTGAAATTTCTGCAAAATCACTACCTGACACTCCAGTTCCTAATGAAATTCAGTTTAAAAAAAAAAAAAAAAATCACCCTAGAATTACAGAACAGAGAAAATACTCAACATGCTACTTCATTATTAGGTGTTAACACCGCCAATAAATTTTGAAACTAGAGACAAAACTCTCAAAAATGTTTAATTTATCAGAAAACACTAGGAAATGCTAAACCAAAAGTAAGCAATGTTGCTGCACTTCAATGATGTCTCATTTAAAAGATTCATCAGCCTTTTCACTACTATACAGCTACTTGCTAAACCAAGTGTCCTCTCAATAAAACAAAAAAATACGTTTTTCAGGTTTGCAAGGAACAGCCAAAAAGGAAGCTGCAAATAATTTTATATATCTTATATAATTTTTATATATTTTCACAAATATGTAGCGGAAGAAAAAATGTAGAGCGATTTCATCTCATGGATACACTAGAGAAGAAACATGTTACCTGTGTGGCAAGGATGTACCTACCATATGTATAAAAAATGGGATCTTGGGAAGAGCAAGAGGTAATGATGTTCCTCTTTCTCACGTACCTGATGGTAATGATGTTCCTCTTTCTCATGTACCTGATGGTGCGTACCATCTCTGAAAAATCAGTTTAATCAAGAAACGTCCCTTTGACCCTCAGGTGTGGCTACTTGTTTGATCTTGCATTTCAGCAGAGAGAAGAGATCATTTACCAAAGATGTGAGTTCCATCTCTGAAAAATCAGTTTAATCAACAAACATCCCTTTGACCCTCAGGTGTGGCTACTTGTTTGATCTTGCATTTCAGCAGAGAGAAGAGATCATTTACCAAAGATGTGAAGTCCTAGTCACATGAGTTTTATTCTTTAAAGATTATACATTAGAAATGGAACTTTCATGGAATCAACATAGAGAACACGGAAGACTGTAATTTTGTTTAACTCTTCTTGTTTTCAAGTAACAAAATCATGCCCATAGTTAAGTTATATATCAAGTGAATTTCCAATTGCTCAAAATATTTTATTTTATAAAAAACCAAAACGAAACAGCCCCCCCAATTTTATCATGTCTTACTACACTGTCTACCCATGCCTGAAGTCATACTTTCAAAGGACATGCACTGACATTACCACGTAAACAAAATGCTGGGAAGTTAGGCAACTCTTGCAAAGATCTGCAGAAAATTCACACTTCTACAGAAATTTTTTTATCTAAATGCGAGGAGTCCAACCTAGTGGCACAGATGGCATGGTTCCTGAATATAATTTCCAAATTAAATTTACAGCCTGGGCAATAACCATCTGCAGTCATCTTTAACCTCTGTGTCCTGGCTAAATGCTAACTGGCACCACTCATTCGCATCCTTCCAAAAATTCCTCAGAAGTTTCATCCAAATTAAATTTTCTTCACATTCCATGCTATAAATGTCTCTAGAGTCTTGCTGCGTACTTTTAAATAGCTGCCAGAAGGGACTGCACTCCCAGGACACAGAGCATAATCCGTTTCCATGGTTTATAAATAATTCCGTGGAATTGTAATTCTGTGGAATGGGGACTATTTTGTCAGAAGAAAATTAAATTGGTTAAATTGGTGAAGAGTTATTCCAGGTACAAAATTAATGAACTCAGTGGAGTTTTCAGTCTTGTATTAGTATCTGACTATACAGAAATGAAATATTCACAACAGTGCACTTTTAAAACATGAGTGCACAGTTTAAAGACCCAAGTTACCATCTCATGCATGTTGGCTAGAAATGTTATAACCCAAGATCACCTCGGGGGCAAAGGCATGCAATAGCACCCTGGCTTTTCACAAACGTACTGTACATAACTATTCTGTAGCAAAGAGAGCGCAGGGAAAAACCACCCCAACTTCTGAATGTGACTTCCAGTGCCAGAAAGGAGGGGGGAAAAAAGTACACTGCATTGTTTATGTATAAAAAAGGAGGGAAAATGTTCTATGTATTACAATTAATAGAAATCAATGAAAAAGATTTTTAACTGAAAAAATGCCTTACCTTGAAAAGTTGAGGAAATGAACATGTCTAGTGAATAAATACGGCTGCTCAGCAGTGCTTATGTTTTTAATCAATTCCATCTAAAAAGAATTAACAAATCAAATTTTCCATGTTACATCAATGCACACTTTGAGACAAACATAACTCTCAAACAACATATGATGATGTAATTTCCAAGTCTGAATTACTCAGGAACTCCTTCCCCACCATCCCTCCGAAACACTGTCATCAAGATAGCACAACTACTATTTCATGTCTAAGAAAGAAAGGTTAAGCTGCAGACACCACCTTGCTATCATGGAGCTTATGTACTTCCAAAAGTGGGTATCAGTTTAAGGAAAGGCATAAACTAAAGGAAAAATCTAAACCCTGCCTAAATCTGCACTAGAGCTTTGCAAGTGGCAGGTGCCCTCTGAAGACACTGGCTCTGCTCACAAGAATGCCAAAATGTGAAGTGTCTGAAACCGTAACAGAAAGTAGGAGCTGAGCCAATGACCATTTTCATATAACAATAAAAATTGCCAACATTCGCAAAACACTGAATGATTCACCTGTTTCAATACAGAAATTGGCACTTACCATTCCTTTTACTATTACAGCAAATTGAGAGTACAAATCAAATGGGCACGTTTAGAAAGATGGTCCCATGTTCTAGTTCAGGCACATTCACCGCATTTTAATTTTTTTAAGAAAATAAATGGTTTAAGTTTTCAGGTCATTAAAATGGAATAATGTAAACAGCATATATTGAAGACTGCGCACCATGGATATGAATATCTATGTTGTGTAAGCTGAGCTCTAGCTATGACCTAGAGGAAACAGAAAGTGTCTAGTGGAGCATCATGATTGAGAGTGGAGACGTCCTGGTTAATTTTGCTTCCTTACTATTAATTTCCTAAGATTTATTTTCAGATTTTCTGTTCTGTGCTCAAATGCAGGCTCTATTACGGACACTGAACACAAATGCATTTGAAATGATAGGTTTATTGATTTTACAAATTAGGAGTAGAAAGTAATACAGAGAGTAACAAAAATTCATAAACTGAAAAAAAAAGATAAGAGAAGGTGAACCAAGCATTCTGGTTTGAGTCATATCAATTAATACACTAAATTTAAACACCATTAAGGGGACATTAATTAAAAAAAAATTCTATTTCTTAAAACTTGAATGCTATAGCTGACATAGACAAAAAAAGGAAAACCATGGGGTCCAGCCTGTTATGTGGTCAAGATAAACTGACTGGCATGTGATGAGTTACTGCAGTAAAAGCCTGAAGAGCATGGTAGAAAATGATGTCAGTGCCATAACAAATATTAAACTACATTTAAGCGACAGCAACTATCAATTTTTTTTCCTTGTATTTCCCAGTTTCAATATAATGATATTTTGCCATGGTTTTTACACTGTCTGTCACCTTTTACTGCTTCTCATCCATCTTTCATTCTCCATTTTTTTCCTAGGACACATAACCTGCCACCTTCTTTCAGACAACACAAGCTATAGCCATTTAACTTCTAGGACCAAATAAAAAAGTCCACAGACTAATATGCTTTTCCCTACTTTTCCTCTGCCTTCAACAATTTTATACACATACACGCACGATGAGCACTGAAGCAAACAGTTCAGTTTGTCCATCCTCTCAGGATGGGCCTTTTCCTGTCAAACTATTTCAAGTACATCAAGGCATATTAGATATAGACCTTGTATATCAAGGCATATTAGGTCTGAGAAAGCGTATCAAGGCGTATTAGGTCTGAGAAAGGCTGTAAACCCAAGGGAATGGAATGTAAAGAAGAAGAGACCACCAAAAGAAAGATGATATGAAAGGAAAAGAGAAAGAAGAGAAAACAGAGAGATGTGTTATTTCAAAAAAAAAAAAAAAAAAAAAAAGGGCAGGAAGGGAATAGCCCCCCTGCTTTAGTCAGTCATATCTGGACTCTAGACTGTTTGATTCAAGCACAAACAAGTCTCTGTACAGCTCCTTCAGTACAATATAAATGCTACGAGCAAGAAATTCATAAACCTGAAGAACAGAGCTTGCCCAGACCAGAATTAGAAAGCCCAGGAAACTTTGCAATAATTGGCACAAAGTAATTGAGAATTGCTTGTTAATGCTCTGAAGAGACAAAAGGTTTCCTAGCAAACCAAGTAAGCCGACATTTCTTTAGGACTGATAACTCCCTCTGCTAAAAAATTATATTCATTCACCTTGCAGAATGAAACAAGGGGAGACTCTAGAGGCTGGGTATCAGATGTATCAATTGCCACCTTTTTTTTTTTTTTTTCTTTTTTCCCCAGACAAGTTACAGGAGAGGTGAAATTTTCAGAACTGTATGAAGCTTTATGTTATATTGGCATTTTACCTGTGTTACTGTATCTGCATGAATGAAAGAAGGAAGATGGCAGAAGGAAGTTATTGATATGGGATAAGAACTCTATTCATGCCACTACGGTCACCACTGTAATTCCATCTTGGAATAAACAAAACCCCATCATTAGAGTATAAATATGGAGATGTAAAGATAGTATACCCGTACAAAGTAACCCCACTGAGTTTAAAAAGACAGGCAGCTTTAATATAATACTGCTAGATAAACACGTGTGTGTGAGTACACGTGAGTGCTACAAAGTACCACGCAAGCCTCCCTTGCCCCTCAGCTCACCCTGTGGCTGCTACCCATTTGCTAGTGCCAGGCTGATTCACATTATACCGCCAACACCACGTTTCCCATTGCACTTTACCCGATGTCAGTGTCAGGCTCATCTCAACCTGCTGCCGGACTACCGGGGCACTTCTGCCTCAGGAGCAAAGAGAGTCTGGTAAGATGCACAGAGAGCAGGACAGCATCTGGCTCCTAGCTTTTTTTTAATCTCTTGCTACCAAAATCAATCTCTTGAGCTATGATAATAGCTTACTCCAAAGCAGACACAGAATTTTGTTTTGACTTAAAGCACCTTCATATTTAGACACTTAATGATCAACTGGACTTGTAAGCAGATGTGGATAGAGCTACAATGTGCATATGAACAAACAAGCAAAAAACATTCTTTTAAAAACCCTGCCAAAAGGGTAAGTAAGGCTCAACAGAAACAACACACAGATGTCAGGAGGGAAAAATAAATAACCGTAATGGCTCACGGCCACATGCAAATTGTGGCCGTATTTCCCATGGGCCCCTCTCCCTCTCTCTCTGATCCCACTGCGCTGAACTGATTTCAGCCTAACAAGCCAAATACATTGGTCAGGAATACCTAGTGATCAGCCCTCCTTTTAAGATTATGTTAAATAATAAATAATAATATCTTTCAACGTCTCCCAGAAGAGTAAGGTCTCTAGTGTTTTTTTGTTGTTGTTGGGTTTCGTGTTTTTTTTGTCTGGGTTTTGTGTTGTGGGGTTTTTTTGTTTGTTTGTTTGTTTGGTTTTTTTACAAGTTGATTAGTGTAGAGCACCCACAGAGAGGAATAGTGAGCAGAGGATGAGAGCTGAGGAAAGCAAGTACCTTTGGATGGAATGGGTGATGCGGGAGAGAGATATACATACAAGGACAGATCATCTGGGAGATAGTCTTAAACCAACCTAAGTTTGAAAAGAGATGAAAAAGCATAAGCAGCAGAAGCTAAACTACCCTGGCAAACACCGTTAGGGAAGATATGAACCAGAACACATCCATGTTTGGATGGAGAAGCTATAAAAATATCTGGGGGAAGACTGAAGAGCACATGGCCACTACAATAAGGGCCCGTAAAGAGCTATTCCTCTTCCTTGCTGCTGCCCCAAGCTCTCCTGTGGGAGTTAACTTTTAGCTGTTTCACTGAGATGGTGCCGAAAGAGATAGTAATTTGCCTTTGAAATTAACTAAATTGCACCAGAGAGTTAATGCTGCTAAACAATGATCCAGGGAGAAGGAAATGTCAGGACACAAAGGCGTGTGGAGAGAGGCAGGTGGCGGCATACTTCTGACTTCTGTCAACAGCAGGGCAATGCCCACATGCTTGCATCCACCAGTGGAGCCCAGGGCATTGCCCTGCCATTGACAGAAGTATCTGGGATTTAAAGATAAACTACATGGCCATGAAAAACCCAAACCAATTCCACCTCCCACCCAACACCAATTAATTGTAAGCATCAGTCTTTAGCCTAAATGCCGATTTGCTCCCTAGCATAACATCTTTCTACCACTGTGACTCCTTGCTTAAGCTTTTATTCTAAATTTTTCTCCAAAATTCATTTTCTGCACTGACTTTTAAAGAGGACCTTTGAACAAGACCAGATCTGCAAACAGAGGCGATCCTGTAAATCATAAGCTATTTTTAAATCTTAAAGTCCACCTGAGCAAGAATACCAAGAGGCAAAGCTCCAAGGGGAAAGGTTTTTCCTTGTCTACTATCCTACACTACCACTGTAGGATCTCAGTTGGCCATACTGAAGAAATCAAACCGTAATGGCTCAGCATCATCCATGTGTTTGTACTCGGCTGTTGCTGCATTGTAAATAACAATCCAGCAGATGGCACAGTGAAATGACTCCGGGAGACTGGATGGGGCCCTCCCCGAAAGGGAAGAAACGTGGAGGATGGCTTTGCTCCAGCCACAGCGTTGTTCCTGCACAAAAACTCAACTCAGACTTGTGAGAGAGGACACCTTCTTTCCCTCTTCTGGAAACAGCCATCCGCCTGCACTGCCTACTCACAGGTAAATTGTACTGGGAACAAAAAAATAACCAGATAATAACCCTGCCCAGACACAGCCAAAATGTTACTACTTTTTTAAGCTCCTATATTTCACTGGCAGAAAATTCGAGGTCAGAATGTATAAAAATGGTGAGGCAACTGGGATTTTTCAAGAGAGGTCAGCTGGATGACACTACGGTCTCCACTAACATTGACACAAATAGGACAAGAATTTCTCTGTATCTGTCTTTCGAGTTGTTTACTTTCTTCTACTGGTTTTGGTATCTACTGAAGGCATGTAGGGTCCAGGAGGCACAAGTATCTACAGGTATTTGGTGTATCACTTTCATCTCGGTATTCATTTCCATAAACAACTCACAGGAATGAGACTAGATCTTCATTTTCAGCTTTCAAAAATTTGGAATGGTTTCAAGAATTTCTTACACTCCCAAAGCTGCTATGACCAATTTTCTGTCTTTAAGAGCATTTAAGAAAAATTAGTGATGGATTTTTAGTGTGTTAAACTGGAATTATATATAAAGCTATCTGCACAGCCATAAGGATGGGTGGTAGAGGGAAACGATATGTTGATAAACTATCAATTACTCCCGTATGTGATCAGTATTTGCATATCTATGAGCATACTTATTCTTACTTCTCTGAATGCAAAAAAATGGAGGGAGGGGAAACTCAGGGAAGAGGAAGAATTCATTTTGCAACAGTACGCGTGTCATTTTAAAGCCACATCAATTAGATTGACCTTGTATACAAGAATACTACATATTATTTGCTATATTTAATTTACTTGGAAATATTATAGCAAATGGTAAGGCACAGATTAACTCATCTGTTTCCAGAACTGACTCCTTTATGCCCATAGACGTTCAAAGGCTGCACTTCTAATTGCTAGCAGGCACAACATAATTTGGGAAAATTTCTTAGTAGGAAGGAGAGTGGAAAAGGCAATGAGAATATGGATTCCAGTTACGTGCAATCTCCGCAGTCATTAAGAACACCTACATGTTTAACTTCATTTAACAACAGCAGACTGCATAAGCTAAATATTTACAGAAAAATCTTGGCTGGATCAGGGTTTTAACCAAACAAAGGACAGACAAATGACAGAAGGAAGAGCGACTTACCATCTCGAGTGCAAAGCCCAAGCTCACGCTGGGAGCCTACAGCCCAGCCCAGCTCTCTTTTCTCGTTACAATGCCTGAGCCTGGGACCATCCATTCTCTTAACTTCCTCTTATGTACACCACATTAAAGGTGGGAGAAATAATTTATTTTTTCATATTCTGCCCATAAAAAATTAGAAGACAACTAAAAATACCCTGAACAACAGAACAGTTACTGTCTCCAGGCATGTTTCCTGGCTATCAAAGGCACTTTTCAGCAAAAGTACTCATTAAATTATGAACCTATTGTAACTATGTAAATAAGTCATAAATTAAAATAAAGAGACTCAAGTTATAGTAGGGCAATCTATGGAGTAAATCATCAGCTCTGTAGCGATACATCCAGCACCATCTGTGTTCCAGCACATTCGCTGTCTAATAACCTAACAGCTTCTGGAGTGCAAAAAGTGATGCAGATATTTATCCTCTGTCATTGTATTGGTTGCATCAAAAATAAGTCTGGGCCTCTGTGGAATCTCCACATGCTGGACTAAAGCACAGAAGACTGTTGAGATGTGATCTTGCATCATGCTTAATAAAGGACAATCCACCTACCAGAGAAAGGCAGAACAGAACTGAAACAAAGTAGCTGATGAGAGTGAAAGCTGGTGATTATTAACATCTGAAAGGCTTTTAGGTTTTATGATGTGTCTCCCAATCAGCAGTGAAACTCGATGAAGGACATAGTCAGAACAAAACCCAAACAACCAGAAACACAAAAGCAGTCATACCCACAGAAACCCCCTATCCCATATCCAACAGTTAAGAAGAAAAACTAACGAGGCAGGCTGTGTAGCACAGGGTAGTTTGACCCTGACCTCACGGGACCATTTTGCGAACTCCAGGCTCCGTGGTGCTGCTGGTGGGATACACAGAGGAATGCTGCAGCCCAGGGCTCTGCCCCTTCCCTTCGCCACGGGCAAGGGCACTGGGGGGAGGCTGTCCTTCCCAACAGCCTTTCACCGGGGTGTCGTACCTAGCTGTGCACAGAAGCCTTTGTGTTGGCGTGGCAGCCCTGGCCAGCTGGTCCCCACCTCGGGCTGAACTTGAGCGCCATGTGGGGTTAGGTGAGCTGGCTGTCAGAGGGACCCCGATGGCCACCTTGGAAGGCAGGAAGGTAGGACCTGCAGGGCAATATCTGCTCCCGAATTTCCATTTGGAATGAATTGCTGTATCTAAAATAACAAACTCGTGCTCATAAACAGGCTACAAATAAATCACTCCCAATCACAGCACAATGCCACTGGCAGGCCCACGTCCGTATTTTGATCATCGCATACATCCTTTTGTGGTTCGCAGGCTGCTATTCCTAGGAGTGACGCAGGCAGTTATTGCGGCATTCACCTGATCAGCAGATCAAAATAGCAGCTGTGGGCAGTGCATGCAACAGTCGTGTGTACGGCATCTGACTGCATCTGTACACTTTGGAGTCTGAGGTTTTTTGTATCACTTGCATCAATACTTACTGATGGCAGTGATACTCACAGAAGGTACATGGTTACCCTAAATACAAGGGAATTTAAATAACCGGATCTTTTGTGTAATCAAAGCTGCAAAAATAATGCCCTCTACAACTTTAAGGGAATGGGAAAAGCGGTGTACAGGTAAAGAGGTTTCATGTGGTATTTTTACTTGCTTTAGTGAGGGTTGTGTGATAACGTGAAAAAAGCAGATGAGCAAGAGGCTGAGATAGGATCAAGGATGTCTCAGATTATAGCAACATGGGTTAGCATCGCCCTGGGAAACAACTTCTTGAAGCAAGTGATTACTAGAAGTGAAGTAAGAAAGTGAGCAAAAAAAAAAAAAAAACAACACTGTTGGCTATTATTTACTCCTGCTCTGCTTAAAGAGACCCAAGCTAGGTCTGAATAAGCTGGCCTGCTTATATGATAAATGGCTGTGCCCTGCAGATACTTTAATACAGGCCCCAGAAGCTGTTAGCACCTAACTTCACTTGTACTAACCCTTCTTGCCTCTCTGCTGGACTAACTGCTATGCTGACTAAATTCAAGAGCTGGCTGACTGGAATTTAGTTTTTCTGGTTAGCTTCCACATCGTGTTGCTCTTGGCTCTACCACCCATTTCTTCTATTAACTGAAGCCGCTTAGAGGATGATGAATTCGGGCCGATTACTCAGGTCAAAGTAGCAGTACACCTTTTCAGTACTATTTCTGCTACCAAAATCCTTTCTCAGTTTCACAAACATAATAAGAAAACAGGATCTAAGACGAGCAGGAGTAACTTACCTGTTCATTTTTGGTCAGTCTTGTTTTGTTATGGATGTCAGATGTAACCAGGTTGAATCCATGTTTCTCTGATAAAATTCTCAAAAGCAAAACCACAGTTCGACTCCCACACTTTCCAACTCTGTTGTAGACCACCTGGCTGGGGAAAGGAAGTACCTAAATAAAGATTGAAAAAAAAAATGGAGTCAGTATATTGGTATTTTTGTTTCTATGTACCTCTGAATCACAGCATGTTTTGACTGTAAGCCAACAGATACATACAGGAGAATTTCTAGGACCCTGCCCAGGTCAGAAGCATTCACTTCCACCAGCAAGCTAGAAGCTCTTTAGAGTAGAAACACATGGCTCAGGAGGTGACAAGCTGAGATTTCCCCCTCATGATCCAGTTTAATATAACAGTGCAGATTGGTAGCTACTCCAGAAACACTAAGCCACTGCTGATGTCTTCTAGTGAAGATGATGGTGGGCTTAAGCTTGCTGTTTGTAGCCTCAATTGAAATAGTCAGCTTTAGTTGACCTCCTCCCATACAAAGCACAAAGAATGAAGAGTGAATATGCACCACAGTTTGGCAACTCAAAGTGAAGTTGACATAACACAAGAGGAGTGCTCGAATTGCAAAACTTCAGCTTAAAAAGAAAAAAAACCCAACCAACCACCAGTTGTACAGAGCTAGAATTAATCAACTGTTTCAATTTCAAATATAAACATGAATCTTCCAAAGAGACTCAGAACAAATCATGCCACTGGCTAGGTACTTACTTATGGAATAAACAACACGGGGGCCACAGGTGGCCTGAAGGCCAACTGGCACAGTCTGATCACCTCCATACAGGTAATGTTCACTAAACCTCAAAACAGAACAGCCACATCCAACCTGCCCACCAGGAACGGTCTCCAGCCCACGCTAACTCTTGCGCCATGCTCCCCTCCCCAGGAAACCAGAACAAGCGAGTAGTAATTCACTGTCTTGAAGTACACTGGATGCAGCCTTGTTTTGTTCCTGGATGATATCCATGGCCTATTCTTTCAGTAAAAGGCATTCTGAAATCACACTATTGCACTAGACAAGTATTTGGCGTGTAGCATATAGCAGCAGCATCTGATAATATAGGCCAAGAGGCATCTGTTTTCAAGCCTTTTAAATTGGCTAACATAGCCAGGAGCTCAGATTTATCTACAGCAGTGCATATATGGCAGTCACTTATGGAAAGCTCATTTTTCTATTAAGACGACGGCACAAAATGTTTCCCAACACAGGGACTGCACCTGGGTTCCAGGCGACATGAGTTCAGCGCAAGGAACGGCTCACATGCCAAAGTGATGGTGTGTATCAACCTATAGTTACTTCTGCTGTTGATGCAATCATGTTCTCCCAGCAGAAGGTTTTCTAACCTAAAAGCAGTCAGATGAGGCACATGGGCTTCTGGCACTTCTCATGGTATTTGAACAGCTAGTAGATCTTCATCAGGGAAGCAAAATGATTCCTCAGGCAACCCTTCAGATTACTTTCAAAGAGGACTGCACACTAGAATAAAAAAACAAAACTAAAAAGAAAATATCTGGATTCCCTTTCATATAATGGGAACATACTGGCGCTTTGCTATCAATGTTACACTTCATGACCAAAAGAACATTACTATTGTTACTGGTTGCAATGTTTAAGATATCCTTCACTGCAACATAAACATGGAAGCCACCATTTCCCAAATTACCTGGGGAGGGGGTAGGTATTTGGTGATCACAGCCTCGGTTAAGCTTTCCAAGTTCCAGGACAACACATCTGCTGATTCAGCAAGTAAACATTGGCCTCCCAATGCTCATACAAAACCCACATAACACACCAAGTCTTACTGTTTTGTAACGTTCTTATAGAGTTTTCTGTGAGAAACCTAGCCCCCTTATTCCTTATCAATCTTTCCTTCAGAAGCCTTGCTTCCTATGAAATGCAAAATCCCAGCCTCAACGATTAGAGAACTCCAAAGGTGATGAATTTAACATCTCTGTGCTACAGCTATAGCTAACCTTTTCCAAAACAACTGCTAATGATGTCTGAAAGGTTAACATTTGAACACATTTTATTATGTTGATTATACCACCAGGGACACCATCGTTAAAAGTTTTTCTTACACAAGAACACAGAGGAGCCATATTCTAGACTGTCCCCTTTTTGATTCACTACTTTGCATAACAAAAACCAGCATCAGTATTTGCCACAGCCCTGCAGCACTCTCCACAAAACAACACTGAACTTGTGGAATGGGAGTTTCTCCTCTGCGCAGACATACACTTTTGGCATACTTTGCTGCGCAAGTATGTGAAAGTCTTCAAGAGAAATGCTAAGTAGACACTGACAAGTGCCAGTGAAGGAGCAAGAGCACATATAGCATGTGTTTGCCTAGCATCCTGGAAATGTGATAAATGATGAGACTTTGTAGGGCTATGGAAATGTTTAAAAATGCTTCATAATTATTAACTGCTTTGATTTTCATAGCAGAGTTGCACTTTGCAATATAGCGAGCAAAATATTTTCTTCATTGGTACTTCATTCATTTCAAGTGGAATTCTGCTGCACCCAGATTACATTCGAGTTCTAATTAAATCCCTGACTTGATTAGCCAGTAACTTTGGGTGAATCTTATTAATACCATTCTTCAAAAATGAAACAACACTAAAGCAGACCTTTGTAAAGTCTCTATTCTAAGTACAAACAACTTTACCAGCTAAAAAAATGACAGTTGCTACCAAGTTTGACCAGTTCTCACCTTTGTTTCTGAAACTCACCTTCCTACGTAGCACAATTCTGTTCTGCACACAGAAGATAACCATGGCAACCCCCAAAAAGAAACCATAAGCAAATACTCATTGCAGATAGAGAAAACTGAAATAAAGGGCTATTATTTTCAGACAACTGTTTAGCTTAGAGGAGGCCAATATATCAATGCCTTGATTCAGTAAACATCTGAATGCACTTAGGTAAAACCGGACAAGATTCAAGATAAACGCTACAGCTCAAAGCTCGCTTCAGAAGAACACAGTCATTAACGGTAATCAAAACTTCGCTTGCAGCACTGCTGAATGTGGCTAGCTTTAAGGATGCACTGCTGAAGCTTTGCTCATGTTTCGTCTGTTTACGTCACCATTCCACTTACACACCTAAATACACCAGAGGGTGTGCCTAGTACACAAAGCCGTGCAGCACACAAGCTTTTGGTACATAAGCAAGTATTTGTTTAATGTGACCAGTTCCCTTAGGACGCTGCAAATCTGCTTTCGGCGTTTTAGAAAATGTCTAAGTGACTTCTTAGAAGAAGAAATACTTCTTCCAGAAACCTGAGTTTGTATAAGGCAGATCTAGAAATGCAAGAAATCGAAAACTTTTCCAGAGAGGAACTTCTTTCTTTTCCCCTCACGATACTCACAACAGACTCAGATAATATAAGAGATGGTGGCAGAGGAGGGACTTGAAAAGAAGGCTCCTATTATATTAGCAGAAACAAGATGGAAAACAGCAGTTGGAGGTTTATAAAATGCTAATTGGATTACATTTTATTTTACAACGTAGACTGACTAACTGCTGAGGTGATGCTCTGGCAACATGATGTTCATGTAACAATATACACAACTTCAAAGTAATTACAGAGTGACTTTATTGAGCACTGCATCAAAGCCCAGAAGTAACAGAAACAATTCAAACATGTAATTCACTTTGGAGTTATATGAATCAGTACTTACAGCTATAAAAAAGTAAGACCCAGAGTATAATTACAACAGCCCTCTCCAAGAGTTTGGAAAGTTATATAACAATTTACTTGTCAGTTCAAACTGAGCTTTTTTTCTTTTGTTCCACAGTTGAAGATGTCAAGAACCATTGTGAATGAAGTCAAGAAGAAAAAGCAAGTTTATCCCAAAATGAATTTGCATTACGGACGACAACTGTCAAGCAGCTCTGCAGGGTAGGTCTGCCAGTGTCAGGAGGGCAGCCATTTCTCAGATAACCTGACAAAAGCCCAGGCTTCCATCTTCAGTGGTGGCTTTGTCTCCAGGTAAACCCTTTAAAAAAAAATTAGGCTGGGTAATTACTTGTAGTATCAACAATTCAGGGATCCACCCAAAGGCCTAAATCATTCCACTTTTACTGAGCCAAAGCCAGTATAATCTTGCCCATTTGCCAAAATTTTCCCAGCCCAGGTACAATTTGCCCACACAAGTAACTCATGTCAGGCATACGTGTTCCCAGAAAGCAATCCATTATCTTCACAGCTTCTGCAAGTAAGTGACCCCTGTCCTTACTCATGAGAGGGGCCAGAAGTGAGTGCCAGAACTGGCTTCTCCTTTCCAAGCAGACACTAACCTGTGGTCAGATAGTGCTCCGTGTTTATCAGGTGAATGAGGCCAACTAGCACAGACAAAACTAGTAAGATCATGAAAGCAGTGAAACATTTGCTGACATTGCACATCTCTATATAGCATCACCTCTTCCCAGTGCAACATCTCAATTTTTTTTCCTGTCCAACTGAGACAGAATTATAAGAATGTTAAAAATGGCTTACCAGGTCAAAGCAATGGCCCATTTGGCTCATGAGTGGTGGAAGATGCTTGTTAGGCACCTGCAAACCTGAGCACTGTCAGCAGTCCATTTCTCTCCAGTATCTTTCCTCCACCTCCAATACCCCCAAAGACCGTGCATGGGATGTTAGAAGGCACATCCTTGCCCGTTGCCTGAAGAATTTCTTACACAACCTGCTATATCAACGAATTCCAGAATTCTGTTACCCACCATGCATTTCATTTTTAGCTTAGCTTCTACCATTTCCGGAGAATACCTGTTCTCACATGGTGGGTTTCATGAAGACAGATCAGCTAATTCAGTCACCAGCTTTGAGATCTTCTTAGATCCATCGGATGCCTCTTTTTAATTGAGGTTTCTCACAAGCCTGCCATGGCCTATTTAAAGACAAACTCTAAGACCACTAAGAGATAACATATTCCAAACCTAACTTCAGGAATTACGGCATAAAATCTCATTCCAAACAAATATCAACTTATTCTTACTCACTTTTAAAGCAATTCCAATGAAGAATTGCTAACACAAAGATATGTCAGCAGAAAACATGACTAAAAGATGAAAAAGAGAGAAAACAAAATAAATTACTAG